ACAAAGAATGTGGAAAAGGCCAAGTACTAAATGTCTTTGTTACTTTATTTAGTGGTCAAACCAACCTTCAGGAATCTCAGGTTCCTATGACTAGGGGGAAAGTCTAGGGCAAAGAAGGTTCACTATGGATGGAGAAGGAATATGTTAAGGAACATTCAAATAGACCAGCCATGCTGAGGTCCCTATAGAAGACACCCAGAGAAACTCTATGAGCTTGTTTAATGCCACTAAAGGCCACTCTCAATTACCTTTGGAAGGTCCTGGCAATAGGGAAGGTTCCTGAGGACTGAAAGAAAGCAAGTATCGCTCATGTCCTCAGGAAGTGCAGGAAGAACGATCTGGGAAATTATAAACTGCTCAGCCCCACCTCTGCTCCTGGGGAAGGTGATGGGGCAGATCAGCCTGCAAACTATTTCCAAATGTGTCAGGAGCAAGCAAATCATTGGGAGAGATCAGTATGGATTTATGATGAAGGGAGCCTCAGTTCATAAAGTTCTGCAAATCAAGTTCTGGACCTGGGCAGGAAGAGCTCCAGGCACCACGACAGGCTGAGCACCAGCTGGCAGAAATCTAGTTTGGCAGAAAAAGATGTGGCATCTTTGTGGTCGTCAAGTAGGCCTTGAGCCAGCAAGGTGTCCTTGTGGCAAAGGCAGCCAGTGGCCCCCTGGGCTGTGTGAGAAGTGCTGCCACAGATTGAGGTGGGTGATCCTTTCCAGCTCCTCAGCCCTGGTAACACATATCTGGGTCCATCCAGTGTCTAGCTCTGAGCTTCCCATTCAAAAGAGAAGAGGACACACTGGAGAGAGTCCTGCAAAGATGATAAAACAATTAGACCATGTGTAATTTTAGGAGAGGCTGAGACTATTCTGCCTGGACAAGAGAAGGCTTGGGGGCCATTATTTATGCATAAATATCTCATAGGAGGTTGCGAAATAGAGCAGAACTTTTCCCAGTAGTAATGTGCCATGAAAGAACAAGAGGCAACAGACAAAAACTGATATTCAGGAAATCCCATTTAAACATAAGAAAAAGCATCTTTAGTGATTAAACACTGAAGAGTTTACACAGAAGGGTTCTGGAGTCTTCATCCTTGCCCATATTCCAGTCCTAGGAAAACTGCTAACTTTCTATGATCCTGCTCTGAGCAGAGGGATCAATCAGACAATTTCCAGAGCTCCCTGTCAGTATCAACTATCCCTTGACTATGGGAAGGTTTAGCCAGCATGCAGCACCCTTGTAAAACCTGCACAAGTGGCAAAACTCTCCACAGTACAGCAGGACAATGCAGCTCTCATTACATCAGTGCAAGAATCACCAGCATTGCCTGGCTGGAATCACATGTGCCATCACTTTTATTGGCTTGGCATCCAGATCCTGAACATGCCACTCCAGAATGCAGTGAAATTAAAAATGCATATGGAAGGAAGACTGCTGGTGAAAGAGTATAGCTGGCTTTGCTTCACAAGTTCCAGTAAAAAAGGGAGTAGACAAAAGGGAGTAGGCTGTGCTCGTGACTCTGGTGCCACCATACATAAAGGCCTGTCCTCAATTAGGATAAATCTTTACTGAACACAGTGGAATGCTGCTGGCACTGCCAACTCTCTCTTCCCATGCTTTCCTCTAATTCCCTCAAAGAGACTTTGGCTCAAAACTTTCCTTATTTGCACTCTGGCCAGAAGCAAAGTGTTTTGGATCTCTTCAGCAAAATCTGCTGGTTTTTAGTTCTCCACTTTGGTGCAAATTACACCCAAATAAAAATAGTTCCAGAAATGAGCTCTGACTGTGAAGCATTTTTGACCAAATATAGGGAGAGTTTGCCTGATTGATTTTAAAAAAAGGCATAAAATGTGCTGAATCTAATGATCAGACTGATTATGGCCCAAATTAACACACAAAATTCCATGTAAGAAGTCAACATCTGTAGCCATGCAGCTATATCAAGACCTGAAAAGGGAAGAGACTTCTTTTACAAAATGTATTACACATCTCTAAATCCCATCAATCCAGTCAGAATATAAAATAAAACAGTATTTTCTGATTTTCCTCTATTTAAAATAAAAATACCAGGAGTAGTTTAAATAACAAGAGAAGGTATATGTAATCCTACAGTCACCCACAAACCATGATCTTGCTTGATGAATTGATGACAGAAGTTGTTTTTTCAATGGTGTTTCATTAATTGAAAGATTGCACTTTCCTTACAAAAAAAACCTAGCTGTTCTAAAAATAAATACAGGGTGAAAAAATCTGTAAAGGAAATAAAGTCTTCTCTCCCCTTCTAACTGGGAGACCCTTAAATATCCTACTACCATTTTAATACAACCTTGTTCTGCAGTTTATAAGCTACTGCTAGGATATATGTTCTTCACAGGTGGTCAGAAGAGGGCAAACCATCACAAAGTCATGATTTATTTCCATTACCATAGCCTTTTTTTTTTTTTTTTTTTTTGCTTCTCTTTTCCTATTGCTCAGTCTAACCTGCCTTGTATAAGCATTTTCCTGAAACCTTTTCTCAGTAATTAACAGCAGTACAATTACAAGCAATGCTTAAAACTGATCACAAGATATTTGTTCATCTTCACTGCTTGCTGGCATAAAAATAACTCTTCCACATAATTATCTATCACATACAGCAATCTGCATAAGCAAACAGCTGAATTAGCTTGCTGGAAAACAATGAAAGCCTGCATTCATAATTGCAATATGCACTCAGGAAACCTCAGATATCTGTAAAAATTGATCTGTTTTCTGAAATGTATCCTGTGATGCTACTTCTCGTTTAGATGCTTAGTAAGAAAAAAATGAAACAAAAAAAAAACAAATAAAAGAACAAAAACCCACAAAAAAAAATTCATGCAGCCAAATAAGGGTGTAATCAAGAATTGTGCTGCTAAATGTGGGAGGCTGGCGCTATCCTTTGAACAGAACTATTTGGAAGAGCAGATGAGAACAGAGCACAGACTGGTATCAAAGCCAGAGAGTAATTAGAGACAATTTCAGAATCAGTCCAAAATCCCCAAAGAAGAGAGGGAAGCTGTCTGGCTTCAAAAGTATGATGGAAAAGCATTAGAAGAGCACACTGGGTGCTTGGAGATCAAGCCATGTACACATAAGCCAAAGATCAAGGGGGTTCATTTAGGCACAAGGCTCCCGGGAATGCTGCAGTACAGAAATGTTGGCAGTCGAGACACAGAAAAGAAGGGAACTGGGAAAATGAAAGGAAAAGCAAGATTCCAGTAAACCTGGGAAAGGATTTTAGTACTGTCATGAAAGCTGAGAACAAAAAAGCTGAGAAATTAAGAAGAACAGGGATCTGTCCTGGTTCTGCAGTGCTTCTGGGCTCTGGGGCAGTGCTGTGCACAATTAAGACAGTCTGGGGCAGGAGGGCAGGATCAGAAAGAAATTGATGGGAGGGGAAACAAATGACACAAAACCATCTAAAGACACGTGATTTGCAGCTGCTAGGATTCAGTGTGTGGAAGGAAGGGAAGAAGCTCTCTCCTCAAAGAGAATCTTGCTCTTGGAACATGTCAGAGCAACACATATGTCTGCTCATGTGGGCTGCTCATCACTGAAGCTGTGATGCAGCAACCAAAGCCCAAATATCTGCAACTGGCCTCCTGGCAGAACAGTAGCTACCTGCAACAGATGCAACTTGGACTTGGGCCTGGCACATGCATTTGTCAGAAACATCAGTGCAGCAGGTCCAAATGTGATCAGAACTTCAGCAGCGGAGCGCAGCAGCGCCCTGGTCTTAGCCTGCAGAAAGACATGAGCAGAATCTACAGAACCAGGGCCTGCTTCACTGTTCTTTGTGACAGCAAGTTGCACAGAGCAGTGATACTGCAGCAAGACTACAGGTTACAATCTTCACACACTTCTGCGCAAACATGGACAGACACCTTTCCTGACATCCCAGCTCTCACATTGGACATTTGGCCCTTGTTATGTTAAATTTATAGCCACAACTCCCTGTTGCAAGTACAGAAATTCTCACAGACTCCGAATACAAATGCTTTTAGTGTTTAAGTAAGTATTTTCCTTGCCTGCTCTAGATCTTTCATCTTTACTAAAGCAGTATGCCCTGAGACTGGAAAACCACACATGGATGCTGACACCAGTCTCAGCTTTCCCCCTTTCCCAAAGGTCATATGGCTCATGGTGGAGGGGATGTGATACTTCTCTGGGAATTAGCACCTATCTTTTTTAACGTTGACTCTAACTTCTTCCTTTTCCTGGAGCTAGAATAAAGAATGGGAGTCATGGCAAAACAATTGTGGCAACACCTAGCCCTAGTCTGAAGTGTAGATGATAACATTATTGAGTTGGATGTGCTGCTGGATGTGCCTGTAGAGTACTGCTGACTGCTAAGAAGCAGAAATGAAGTAGATTTTCCCCAACTGAGCCCACTGTGCTGCTCCAAAATAGCAACAGATACAACTTCCTTGAGGAAGCGGAGTGAAAGAGGTAAGGAGGTGCAGGAAGAAGAGAAAGGTGAAATTGTGCCTTGCTTTTTCCCTTGCATTTATTGAGTCCCTTAGATTCACACAATTTGGCATATTCTTCTTTTGGACCTGTCCTTGAAAGGTTAATTCAAGCACTTGTGCAGCTTCAGATGTGCTGTTTTTCATCTCAGTTCCCTATTGCTCCTATTCTCTTGCACTGGTTGCCCAGACAATAAACGTGTGAATGTCTGTGACCTGGTCCTCCTGTGCATGCACTGTAGTTGACTCAGTATTTTTACCTCTGCATACTACAAATACGTCTGTAATTAACAGATATTGCAGTAAGCACATGCACTGTGAGCTCTTTGCACACTGAACAAAAACAGTTCCTACACTGGAAAGGTTTTCCTACTAGGGTACAACTATCAGGGAAATGCTGAGCTCCGTGTCCACTACAGTAAAAATACTGACCCCTCTTTAAACTGAGGCAAGCATTTGCAAAATGCTTCTAAACAACGGGGGAAGGATGAATCCAGGTTGAATGGCATCACATACCAGCTCCAAATGCAAAGAAGAAACTCTTGTCTGGCTGCTCTTCCAGCAGGTCCTTCACCCTCCTGCCCATTCGCTCATTTCGTTTGTAGATGAGCTCCTGACGGAAGTAGCTGTCTATTTCTTGGGCAGTAATGCGTTCATGGGCTGGAAGTGTAGCATTAATGAAATTTGGGACCTAAGGTAGGAAAAAAAAAGTCTTCATGAAAGGGGAATTTGTTTCACAGGCAGCCATTATGCACAGGCACTTTTGTTCCACACAGAGTGTAGCACCTGCTTCATCCCTTAAGGCACAGCCAGTAGGACAAAACCCAAAGCAAGCTAAAAAAATACTTAGCAAACTTCTAATTATGCATGGTGCTTCATTTCTCTCAATACATCATTTCATAAGCTAGCCAGATAGATTTTTTTTAATTCAAAGTCAACAAATGCTATTATTTTGCCATATTGAAGACCCTAAATCCTGATTGCTCAGTTGAAGGAAGTTTTGCCCCTAACTGCCTTTAACCACATACCTCTTTTTTAAATTGCCATAGGTATGACATAACTATAATGATAATTATGCTCTTCTAAGAGAATTTTACTGGTATCAGAGCCTTCAGGCTGCCAAAAAAATAACTGTGCAATTTGAAGTAGTTAAAAAAAAAAAAAATCTAAAAGAGGGCCAGATTTTCTCAAGAAAGAACGTGTTACCACCTCCAGTTGCTCTGTCCTGACGGTATCTTTTAAAATGCTGGCTTCCTCCCCTGGGGCTCCCCAGGACAGATGTGGCTGCACACTACCCTGACCTCTTGCCAGCAGAGAGGCAGCAATTCTAGCTTCTTGACAAGTAGCTTTACACATTCAGTTATGGGGATGGTTAACTAAAAGTCTGCAAGCAGGGATTTCTGGAGAGCAGAGCTGGTAATAAGCCAGGTGCTTTCCCTTGCAAGGCTGGGAAGATGCAGAGACTTTGGAGTCCCTCAGAGAGACTATTACAGAATATTCCCAAAGGGTAGCTAGCCCACATATACTGGGCAAGCATGGAGTCAAATACAGCTTACTGAGAAGTTCTACTTAAAACATAAACTGACAGTGTGGCAAACTATCAATATTCAGTTCTGCTGCCAAGGAGAGTGCCTGGAGGTGGAGCCCCTCACATTAAATAAAGGACAGTTTTTCCCTTGGCAACCTTCCTGTCTCATAGAGCTGCTCTCTCCAAGGACCTAGGGGCAATGTCTGCAGTCTGTAACATCTCCACAGGATAGTGATGCAGCATCTGCATCCTCTTAAAAAGCTGATCTCCTCTGAGAAATCCTTTGAAACCTATGCATGGAGTGTAAAAGCTAGGCAGTATTGATGACCAGATGCCTGCACCTGCGGGAGGGTGGGTGTGTGGGATGGGAGGACAGCAGCACACACACAGAGCTGGGCACCAGAGAAGCAGAAGTTAGTATGACCCTGCAGCTCTGCAGCTCTGCACCGTATGTTTCAAAAGGTCATAGCAAAATGGTTATTCAGCACAGAAAGCTCAGGTATCGACACCTATTCAGCACTCTAAGGATGGAGCCTGTGTTTTCACTGATGTGCACAAATTGCCAGGCAATACCTCACAAACAAGAACAGAGAGGCCTGATGTCTCAGCCTGAGGTTAGTTAATCTAACAGCCCAAATTGGTCCCTGCTGGGCATTTTCTCATGGTTTAAAGATCAGTGTTACATTCCATTGTGCTGCTTAGGAAACCATCTCCATAAACCCAAGTCTGTGAGGTCTCAGAAGGTCTCTTTTCCTTCACAATCAGTCTAAATCCATCTTTTCTTTGTTTCACTAAATTTCTCTTCTTTGGGCCATGTCCACAGCACACTGTCATACTGATAGGGGACATTAAAAAGCTTGTAACTCGCCCAGCCTTACAAAAGCATCCAAATCACGAGTGCATTTCTCTGTTTTATTCACACAAGAGAGCCTGCTGTTGCTTTCTGTTGGCGTTAGGTTTGCTCATACCTAACCTAGCGTAATTCCACAGGATCCTTAAGAAAGTAAATTATTAACTCATAGAGCTTTGATGGTAAAGCAAACAAGGCAGTCATCCAAAAGGGAAAGCCAGGTGCACCTTCACTGCTTGGGTGCAAGAGAGGGGTTGAGGCAGTGCAGACTCCTGGAACACAAGGCTCAGGAAAGCAAACACACCAGGGAGCCAGCCACATGCCCCTCGCCCAGAAAGGACCTGCCTGAGGAGAGGTGAGCACGCGTGTTACAGGGGTTAGCACTACATGTGTGCAGTACAGGGGCTGCAGTGGCAAGACTCACTTGAGAAGTGTCATGGTTGAAGATGATGGAGCTGAGGTCCCCACAGTTGTAATGCTTGATAAGGTCTTCTGTCGTAAAGGGGATCTGGAAACTCCCTGCTCGGAGGCTCTCCTGCTGCAAGAGAGTCTGATTCAAAGCAAAGACCACCTGAGGGAGGGGGAGAAGGGAGGAAAAGACAGAGTTCCTGGTAAGTTCTCTTTTCATCCCATGAGAAGGTCACAGACTCAATGCCACTGACTGAAGGCTCTCTGAAGCTGCTCCTGCTCTGAGCCTGCCAGTCTAGACATCTTACCCCATGCCTCCTACAGCTCCACAGGCACTCACACCTTGGATGCTGGCTGAGAATGGACTCTCCACATTTAACTCAATGGGGTTTTGCCTGTGACTTGACTAATACAGATGATGCAAAGGGGCAGGCTGAAGCAATCTTGTTCCCTTAGATGACAGTTTGCCTGACCACCACAGAGCCCCAGGGCCTTACAGGCTCCAATCCCCACAGCTCCTCAGCCACCTTCCTAAATTAAGCATGGCTTCTCCTTCCCTTCCTTCCCTTCCTTCTTCATCTGCAAGAATAGTCACAGGCTGTTGTTTCCTGCATTGTGTCTCCTCTCAGACACATCTATTTCAGGCAGGAATGTCTCTCTGGAGCAGGCCAGGGAAGAGTGGTGGCTGTTGTGGGGCACAGGTGTCTCTCCCAGCTGACTGTCTCCACAGGCAGGGTGCTGACAGCACTCCTTCCTCCTCAGCCTTCTCCTGGGAATGCAAACATTCCCATCCCCTTTTCCTCAAGGAAAACTATCTGGCTGGCACAGCTCCTACCCCCAGGGACCTCTCTGCTGCCCATGGAGAGAGAAGAACAGAGAAGATCACCCTCCAGATGTGGCTGCCTCAGGGAATGACCCAGACACTGGCTGCTGATCCAGCATTCCCCTGCCTCGGACGCTCCACATCCCACGAGTGTGGCAGCCACTTAAAAGGGACAAGAGAGCACTTTGGGCCAACAGGTGTCTCTGAGGCCAAACAGATGCAGAGTCTCTGTGCCCCTGGCCATGGCAGCAGCCACCAAGCTCCAGAAAGGCAGGAAGCCAAGGAAGGACTTGGGGTGGAATCTCCCCAGGCTGAACATGGAATGCCTGTGGGCACCTTTGGTGAGGCATGGAGCTGCATACTCCCCTGTGCCAGCACCAATCCTCTGTCAGCACCTGGCAAGTAAAACACTACCATCTCTTCCGAGCCCATCTCTTCGTGCTTACACTTACGCTACCACTGGTTTTCACACCAAAACTGGACAACATTCTGACTACCTACTGGTTTATTATTTTTATTTTTAAAAGAAACTCAGATATACTGCTTTGAATTTTTTCAAAAATCACTCATAAGGGTGTTATTTTGTAAGCTCTGGTTACTCTCTGTGTAATTAACTCCTCCTGAACGTTTGCCTCAAACACCATCAAAGGCAGTCTAGAACAGAAAGTATTTGCCAACACTATGAAGCTCACACATGAGCAAGCATATTCAATGTACTGAGACTATGTGAACCAAATTTTGGGATTACAGAGCAGATGTGGAAGCAAACAGGTGCAACTTCTCCCCCCCACCACCACCACAACCGTCTGTCAGAATTTGCACAGAAAGGTGCAAATTCCATCAGACTTAAAATCATGCTGTCCCTGCTACAGCTTAACTTACCTCTTTGGACCCAAATCGCTGTGTGTGCAACCCAATATAAAAGTACATAATGTAGCATTAATTCTGGGAGGGTGAATAGCAACATTCACTCACATCTCGTGTTTGTAAAAAAGGAAAGAATTCACTTTGTTGTTACAAACTGCACTCAACTGAAATAACAACTCCATGCGGACACTCAGGCAAGTTACCTCAAACTAAGCAGTGGTTATCTTGCAAAGGACCTCTGTTAGATTTTAAAGTAAATTGAACAGAACCAAATTGAAACTACTTTATGTCTGAACAAAGGTTTGCATGCAGGCTGGGGTTTATCATGCTATCATGCTCCAAAGTCATCATTTTCCATTTGTTTGCCTTCAGAGAACTTTTAGTGGATGCTAATGACCAGACAACATTCACTAAGAGACAAGACAAATCCATGCTGAAAATATGGGACTTCTACAGCCACGACTGCTTGGCCATGCCAGGAAAATGTCATATGTACAATCAATCCAGTCAAAAGCACTTCCATGAGAATTGCCTATTTTTGAGCTATTGTACACCTCCTGCTTGATTATTTACCATTAAAGCAGTATGTCCTTTTCCAGACTTCGAAACCATGACCAGACAGTCCCTGTCCAGACAGCAGTCAGGAAATGAAAAGCCTCCTGAGCTCATCAGGTAGCACTGCCTCAAAAACATCAAAAAGGCTTTGCAATCTGTTTGATTTTTTTCCAAACACAAACCAGTAGAGGGTAACTGGCTTCTGGGGAGAAAACACCAGCCTGCTGGGTGAGACATGAGAAAAAAGACAATCTCTCCCTGCTGTACCCCTGCAGCCTGTACTCCTGCTGTCACTTGTTCTGCAGGCTGCCCTCAGGTCCATACAGGTCTCTTCCCTCCTCCCTTGCAATGTGAAATAGATTCAGTCTTGCCTCCAGACAGACTGGGGCTGCACTGCAGCAGCCAGGCCAAGCCACACAGGCATCTTCCTTCCTGTGAGCACACAGTAAGCTGCAAAGAGCTACACAAATCTGCCCCAAAAGCACAGCATAAATTTCAGTGATGACCTACAGTTATGGAGGATCACTGCACACAGTTCATAGGAACACAGGCAACTCACCTCCCCTTCCTCCATATCTCTAATCTTACCACTGACATTACAAAAAACTGCCCCAGTGAAGCAGCTTTGGCAGCTCTATGGCCTTTGCTAAGAGTATATCTTTATTGTTGGAGGTGTGAGAGTTGATACTGGAATAAGAAGAAATTTCAGGATGGCAGCAGCTGAAGGGCTTGCCTGCCCAAATGGGAAAGCACGAAAGACCTTTTACAATGAGGATGCTCATGTTTCATCTCAAAGAACAAAATGTCCCAGCTCAAGACTCCTGCATCCCCTCCTAACCACAGCTGCCTGGGGACAGAGTATCCAGCAGCCTGCCTTGGACTCCATGGCCATTTTGGTGGTTTGTGCAGCAATGCATCGACTGCTTATCTTCGTCATGGAGGACTACAAATGTTCCCTGACAGCTCAGACTCCCCCACAAACAACATCTTTCCCCACTCAGACCTAGACCTGCATCCTATCACTGTACATAATGAGGGGGAGTCACACAAGAATCACCTGAAGTTCCTGACATAGAGAGTGGGCTTCCACCTTGGTGCTGTGACGGACAGAGGTAGTCTCTGCTCTTTTGAGGACAGAGCAGCAGGTCAAGTCCTTCTGCACAAGTCAAGATAAAACACACAGGCAGAAATCAAGAGAGCATCAATGTCATTGACAATTAGCCCTCCCTAATGAGTTACAGTAGTTCATGTATCAGGCTTAACACAGCTGGAGTACAGGAAATTCTGTTGTCAAAAATACTCTCTGCATCAGCTGGTCTGAACAGAGCGGTGGCATCTGCTGGAGGGGGGATGATGGCACATCTACTGAACACAGGATCACAATTTGCCATCAGCATGAGCCTACAGCCTCTCAAAGCAATGTGATAGTTCCTCTCAATTCCTCTATCACTCCTACCTTCTTGGGGGAATTCAAAATCCTCAGCCAAAAGAGAAGGGGATGTGGGGCTAAAGGGGTAGGATCTGTTTGCGATATCAGAGGTTGCTTACAGCTCTGTCCTGGTGAGAAGGTTATCTTCAGTAAATAGGAATGGATAAACATTGTCAGGATCTCAAAAAAAAGGTAAGATTCCTGAATCTCCAGTTCTTGAAGGATTTAATTTACTGAGGCGGGTCTTGCTCGGAAGTTGGTAACTTATTATCTGTCATTATTTCTCAAAGAAAACATCAGACTAGGTGCAAAGTGATGCTTAAAAAAGACCAAAGCCATCAAACTCTGCAAATTGGATCTCAGTCTTGTTTACCAGATGTGAAAAACTGAAGAAAGTCAACAGAGCAGAAGCAGGGACCCCATCAGCAGCTGGTCTGAAATTGCTGTATTTGCTAGGCACAAATACTGCTTGCCTTTGGAAACCTCATTCAGCTCTGCAGTCCTTTCCTAGCAATTCTGAGCAGTTAAGAAAACAGCAAATACGGAAAGGTTAAAAATAAATTTTTTATTTTTCTTAGAAATGAAACCTAAGAATGCATCTCTCTTGCAGGTATCTCTTGCATTACACTATTTTACTATTTCCAAGATCTTTGCTGTGTCCAGATTTCCAGATCTTTCCTGAATCCACAGAAATCACTCTACATTCACCTTCCTTGCAAGACCATTCTTCCTGATTTCACACAACCCCTCCAGCAACTCCATCCTACTCTGCTCCATTAAGTGTATTCATACTAGCATCAAAGCATCTTCTGAAGAGATGTATTCGGGGAACAAAAGTAACAAGTTTATTAGAAAGGGATTTTTTTTTATCTCCCACATCCCATTTTCACTGGGATCTCTGTTTCCCCCCAACCCTCTCCCTTTTTGTACTGTGGAAAAAATCGATTAAGCTCTCCAGTATACATATTGCTGCAAACCTCATTCTCCTCCTGGAGATTTCTTCAGCTGTCAGGAGACACTTGTCCCCTTTGCTAGCATTGTTGGAGTGGCCTGCTAGGCTAAGGGGGTGGGGGAAAGGGAGTTAGAGCCTGGCAGATGCCTTTTTTGTCAAAGACAAAAGACCCCCTGCCATCCTCTCCACTTTTCAGTACTTTCATCCACATTGGATCAAAGTGCTATTCTGCATATGAAAGGAACCTGGCATTATTCGCCTCAAATTAGCCTATCGCCATCCCGCTAGCCTCCAAGTCTTCCCAACAAAAGCCCTCACATCTGTTCCATCCTTTGCCTCATCTTCGGGGTTTTTTTTTCCTTTCTGCTCTCAGTTTTTGAGAGCCATTCAGCCCCTTGAATTATAGGCTGGGGATCATCTTCCTTGCTCTGGGATCGCTCAGCCGGACAATTTGCTTTTAATTGTCTTAAGGAATCATGGGCTGCTTTTGGGTCCTTCTCAGAGACAAACTGCATCCATTACAGCTTCCATTCAGCC